AACATGTAATATATTTGTTAAATATAAAAAAATATTATATTTTAGATAACATAATTATAAATATCTGAATTATATAAAATTTGACATATATAATCATAAAAAAATATAAGATGATTTAACTATTGAATTAATTAATTTTATATTTTATAAAATAATTAAATTTAAAAGTTTTATAAGTTTATTGACCTAAACTACAAGTTTCTAAATAAATTACAAGTTATATTTAAAATAAATTAATTTTACTTATACATGATAAATAAAATAGTCTTTTTATCATCTTTTAAGGTGTTTTTCTAATAACCTTTTTTAATATTTTAAAAAAATTGAATTGAGTTTTTTTAAATAATAATAATAACTAATGAATTAAATAATTTTGTCTAATAAGTGTCGGTTGACAAAATAAACAGCGTATTTTACTAAGTTTGGTAGTTTATATTTAAAAATAAAAAGTCAATCCAATATATCATTTATGTTAGAAAAATGAATTAAAAGATTAAAAAGAAGAAATAGACATAACTTGATAATTTTTTTATACGAAGTACTTTAATTAAATACAAAATATATTACTCATTAAGTATTTTTATATACATTTTTATAAGTTTGATATCTCAAATATTCTTTTAAAATCTCTTCAAGTGACGCTTTCTCCGAGGAAAAAAAATTAAGATTATCAAAGAAATATACAAGGCTTAGTTATTCTTAAAATAAAAATACTAGGAAAGTGTTTAATAATAACACTTCTATCACTTTGAAAGATTGACTTTTTGTAGGTTTGTTTGTACATTTTTGCAGAGTGATATCTCCTTTACATCCACAAAAGGCTTTTTAGACGTTAGAAAAACACACACAATTAAACTTAATTAACTTTAATAGTATTTATTCAAACTTAAAATATGTTTAAATTTATTTCATTGATAAATTGATATCAAATAAATTTCTATGTTTTAATCAAACAATTTAATATTTTTAAGTAACTTATAATATTTTTATTAAATATATATTTAAAATAAAGATAAAAAATCTTTAATAATATAGTATAAAAAATAAAATTGCTACCTCCATAAGTTGCTTATGTTGCATTAGAACCACGGAAAAGGAAGTTATGTGCTTGAGGAATGTAAATATTTATTTAATCTCTTAAGTGTTAATTATTTTATTATTTTATTATTTAATTTAATAAAAAAACATTTCAATTTTTAATTTTATAAAATATTGATTATTTTGTTTTTCACATAAAATGATAATGAAAAATAAATGATAATTAAAATGTTTTTTAATAAAGATTAAAAAAGAATTTTTATAAAATTAAAATAATTAATATTTATTTAAGAGATTAAAAAATTATTTATAAGTAGGGAGTGTAACTCCTCGAGTTTTATAATTTATTGATTATTAATATAAATACGTGAATTATTATTTGGATATGTATATATGAGTATATATGGTGTTTGGATGCATGATTTTGATTTATATGATGACGTGGATGTGTGTATGGTACGAATATAAGCATATGCAAGTATGTAAGTGTGCGATGATTTGAAATGTAAATATTAATTTGTGAATTGGATTGAAATTGATTGAGAAATAGGCTTAGTGTGTACTGTAAGGGCGTTCTCGCTGTAATAAGAAGGTAAAAGAGAGGAGTGCATTTCTAAGTTGCAGTCTCGCTGTAGCGAGATAGTCTTGCTATAGTAAGATTTTACAAAAACCAGAGTGCAGTTTCCTCTAATATTTTTGCTATAGCAAGGAGGCGACCAAAGGGGTATTTGAGGGGTTTAGGGATTGAAAAATTTATTTTTCATTTTTCTCTTCGAAATCTCTTCGATTCTCTCAACCCTCAATCTTGTTTCATCATTTAAATTATCTCCAAAATTGTTTGGGAGCGAGATTGAAGGTTGGAATCATGTTTGAAGCATTTGAAGGTAAGTTTTATGGGCTAGAGTTTCATTTCTTCATCCCTTTCTTTGTTTTCTTGAGTTCTCATGGAGATTTCTCATGTTTTAGGGACGAAGTACTATGTGAGGGAACATTTTCTGCTATTATTTTGTGTTGGATCTTCATTTTGAGGTAAGAGGAGACTCTACCCTATCTTTTTGTGTTAAAATTTTGTATATATTGTTATTTGTAGAGTTATGATTGAAATTAAACGCAGAAAAATGGGTATACTTGATGGAAATTTCATGTTATTTGTAGTGTGGTAAACATTGGATAAGTATTGATGATGAGATTATTAGAATGACATGATTATAATTGTATTATAATGAAAATCTTGGTATGGAATGCAATGTGACTGATGTTGAGCATGATGTATGATGATTGTGATGTAATGGTTAATTACAATGGGGTGAAAATGTGAGAATATGTCATTAGTTGATGATGAGTAATATGAAATGATTAGAATGTGTGTGAATGGTATGTGACTCTGATTGTGGTTATGTTTAAAATGCTGAAAAAACTGTGAATGATTCAGCAATACACTGGAAGTGTGGAAGATGAAGGCGGTAGAAATATCTTGGGGAAGATAGGGTAGTGGTGACACCAATAGTGAGCATGGGTGCACCACAGGCCACACATTTTCCTCCTGACTCGGCCTCTGACTAACATCTTTGCTTGGAAGCCCAGTACCGCACATGTTATATCTGTGGAGCAGGGGTTATCTGGTGACCATCTATGATGTGAACTAAGTAAGTCCCTGAAGTTGAGGGCATCAGAAATCTGTAATCACAGTGCCACAGTGAGTGTGACTACGTGCAGTGAGCACACGTGTGTGTGAATGGTTTGATGGTGTAGTAAGCGAACCTGTTTGTTAATTGAAATAGAATGTTGAAAAAGTATTCCTTGTGTTTGTTGATACTTGATTTGAGCTAGGTTAACAAATGTGTGAAATGTGCAAAATGAATCTCTGTGTTTGTGTGTGATAATGTAAAGTACTTACCCTTATATTTATTTTTCAGGTGACCAAGACGATCAGTGTCTAACTTAGTTAAGGGATTGATGAAACTGCTATAAGATTTAGAAACTTAGTCTTTTGAAATTATAATGTATTATTTAAGTCCTATAGCAATGATTTGATTCAAACTTATAATTCATCCTTATTTTGAAATACTTTAATAAAGTTACGCGTTGGAAACTATTGAATAAAAAAATTTATTATTCTCATTTAATTACAAAATTTATTTATTTAAAAATTAAATTAAAATATTAGAGAGAGCAGTAGTCTTTGGGACTGTAAAAAAAATACATCTATAATTAGAATTAATTATTTGGGAATGCTTGATAAGTTGGATTTCTTGCAAATTGTACAAAGTTTTCTCTTAAAAAATTAGATTTGTGTAGAGTGTATTTATAAAACTATCCATTATTCTCTCTCATTATCTTCACTAGCTACCACACCACCACTTCATTAGTCACCATTAAACAGGTATATACACCTTTTTACCTTGGAATTATATAAAATATAATAAAAAATATTAAGGCACATATTAATACCTTAAGTACATTTATGAAAAAAATTAATAATAATATATGTTTACCTTTTGTTTTAAATATTCTTAATAATTTTTAATTTTCTTAACTAATATTTGAGAACGCTCGTTACTAAAACCTACATATTAAATAATAAAACTTTTAAGTGTTTGTACAAATAAAAGAATAACATTTATATGTTATCTTTTCACAAATTTTTTTAAATAAACAATTCAATAATTGATTTTAGAAGTTTTGTTTGTCAGTTTAAACCATCTAAATAAAATTCCAACACCTCTCCAACTATGGTTCTGAGGTCAAAGAATATATTGTGGATAAGAAAAATGTTAATGACTACGATGGAAAATAGATGAAGTAACAAAATATATAGACCAAATATTAATCATGATATTTAAAAAATGTGGTGATTGGTGCATAAAAATCTCATAACATACAGTATTATTGTATAGATAACGATGAATGTACACCTTATTTTGGAGGTACGGAAAGCAAAAAGGAAATAAAGACAGAAAAAAGATTAATTAGTGATGTAATAGAAAAAAAATTTGATTTTTTATACCCCTACTATACAACTGGACCCAAAGCGTCTTTGATGTTTATCTTTAAATGAGTAATTAATAACGATCGTCTAAAACAAGTAACTAAAGAAAAGAATTCGTTTGACAGTAATGATGGGAAAAAAAAAAAAGACTTAAATAATATATTTCTTGATTGAACTTTGGATAAAAAGCAATGTAAACCATGTTTTTAGCTCGTGATAATATTGCAAGATTTTAGAGAAGTCAGTGATAAACTTTTACAACCGGTAATGTAATTTTTTTTTTAATTGATTAAAATTATTCAAAAGAAAATTCAACAAATTATTCAAAAATCTATGCCCATTGATGTGAGTTGTAAAATGAGTTCTCATGTCTATTGGGCTTGTTATGAGTGGCACGCTTTAACAAGTTAGGTCAAAAAATTCATATCTAATTTAAATTCACAAAAAATAGTGTCGAAATCTAAGTAAAACAGAGAATTTTTTAAGCGTAACTTTGTAAGTTGCTTAATCTATATTGACTTTGATGGAATTAGATTTTTTTAAAAAAAGAATAATTTAATTTGAATTCAAAATTTAAAGGTGAAACTCTACACTTTATCAAACAAATTTACATCACTTTGGTAAATAGATAATTATGTCCCAATATCAGGTGAGATAATTATTTATTATTTACTTTTGCATTTTGTCCTCACGTTAACAATTTTTGTTCATATGATTCGGAAATTATAATCTTTAAAAAAAATTGGCGCAAATTCAACGAATGCATAGTGTTTCAATTTTATTGATTTAAATAATTTGACAAAAATCAAAGGGCCTGTGATATATAACTAGTTTGCCAGTTTTCGTGTAGTTTTTAATGGTGAATAGCAATTTTCATAACACTAATCGGGGCCGGTTGTTGAACTTGAAGTCTACGTATTTTTCCATCTTTATTGTGTTTTCCACTTCTGTAAAGCATTGAACATCCTTTTTCCCTGGTCAATTATCCAATAATTCGTAGATTATCCTGCAATCTGTTATCGCTATTCAACTTAAAATAAATTTAGTACACTCTTGAATAATAATACATTTTACATTAGTACTCTAGATCTAAGCTTTCTGTGTTCATATGATTATCCAAACTCAATTTTCGTAGTATACTTTGATTTTCTAGACATGATAACTGAGTAACTAAAAACATATAAGCAAACGCAAATGAAACTGATGCTGAAATAAACACTGTACAAAGCTTCAAAAAGCTATAGATTAAAGGAGGGAAATCTAGATAAAGCAATTTTATTTTTGAACATTTTAACTCCCACAAGCTAAGCACTCTTCACGGTTTGTTAAAGAGCACACCATCTGTGCCATATTCGTATTATCATCATACTCCACATTAGGCTTTTCCTGCATTCTCAACAATAATATTTCATGTCAGCATGTGCGAATCACATGAATACAAAAATTGATCACAATGAAATCATAATTACTTTGAGAGCAGTGGTATCAACAGTGAACTTAATAGCATCTGCTGCAGCTCGTGATCGAAGATAATACATCCCAGTCTTTAGACCCTTTTATGCACAAAGCAGAAAGCAAATATCATCAGCAAATAGTTGGTTCTGAAGGTACTTCATGTCTAAATATTAATGCCAATCAGCACAGCAAGGAATCAACATTGCTTACTATATTATTGCTGTAGATTTAACTTCTTTTTCTCCCCTTACTGACATTGTCTACCACTTAACAGGCCAATATACCCTCCAAATATATCCAAGTTTTTAAAAAAAAAAAAAAAAATCCTTTTTTTACTCTAACCATGCTTACAATTCAGTGTTAAATGGTTTTATCTTCAATATAAAAATTGCTACCTTGGACCATGCATAGAAATGCAAAGAAGTCAGCTTTCCAAAATTTGGTTGATCCATGTGAATATTTAGGCTTTGACTCTGATCTATGTAGCATCCTCGATCAACAGCCATATCTACCAATGTCTTTTGTTTGATCTCCCAAACAGTTCTACTCAAACAAAACTTAGTTAGACAGAATAAAATAAAGCAAAATTTTGGTTGGTTAAGAAATGATAAATCTCATACTTGTATATAGTCTTCAGCTCATCAGGTATTTCAGGTATTTTTTGAACTGAACCATCTTCATAGATAATCTTGTTCTTGATTGCAGGAGACCACATTCCCATCTCAGTCAAGTCATGAAGAAGATGCTTGTTCACAACAACAAATTCACCACTGTATAAGAGGCAAAGTTAGTAAATGAGAGGACTGTACACCAAGACAAAACGACCTGGGATGGGAAAACAAACCTTAGAACTCTGCGACTGTAGATATTTGATGTATATGGCTCAAAACACTCATTATTTCCAAGAATCTGGCTAGTAGATGCAGTTGGCATAGGGGCCACGAGAAGTGAATTTCTCACTCCATTCTTTGATATCATCTCGCGAAGTGCATCCCAGTCCCAACGATCTGAGGGTGTCACACCCCACATATCTGGTTGAAGAATTCCCTGGGCAATACGAAATCATTTAAGCAACCAGAAAAATCTTGGATGCAAATTTTTAACTCTAGACCTTGAAATTTAAGTTGAATATGCATTTGCATACATATGCTGCTGTATCAATCTAAACTTGGCTATAAAATTAAACTTATGCTCAGGACTTAAAAATGGAGGGAATGAAGCCTCTAAAGTTGATATACCTTGCTTAAAGGACTACCAGTGTATGTCTCATAGGCACCTTCTTTAGCAGCCAAATCAGATGAAGTTTTTAGAGCATGATAGTATATGGTCTCAAATATCTCCTTATTTAACTGTTGCGCCTGCATTAATATCCAAGTGAACAGAGTTTGCGTACAGCTAACTTAAAAGCACCAGCCCCATACCAGAAACAAGACTTACCTCGGGTGAATCAAATGCCATGCCAAGTAGTATGAAGGTATCAGCAAGACCCTGAACTCCAATACCAATGGGTCTGTGCCGTAAATTTGATCGCTTGGCATTTTCAACTGGGTAGTAATTAACATCTATTACTTTATTCAGGTTTGTAGTGACTATAGCGGTAATCTGTAATTAGTCATAAACACAAAACCATAACTACAAATGATGTAAAATCGTGTTAAAGTACATTGAAGACATCAGTTATTGTTAACAAGAACAATACCTCTGCTAATTTGTCAAAGTCAAAATACCGGTTCCCAGAGCCAGTGCTTCCGACAAGCTTGGATGGATGAGACTCCATTGGGACACCCTACAGTAACGATAAAAAAAAGCATTCAAACCAGGTAGAAAAACTCGTCAACAAACCAAATCATGTTGAGTCTAATAAATTGAGCATGCAAGAGATATCCTACCTTTTCTCTTACGTATCTTGGTAGTGCAATTGATGCCAGATTGCAAACGGCAGTTTCGGTTGGACTTGAATACTCAATTATCTCAGTACACAAGTTTGACGACTTAATTGTACCCAAATTCTGCTGGTTGCTTTTCCGGTTGCAAGTATCCTAGGATAAAGGAAATTACAGGACTTGCTTAACAGATAAAAACAGCAAATACAAATTATTAATAAGCAAAACGTATAAACTATAAAGTCAAAGTCATTTAAGGCACCTTAAAAAGCATGTAAGGGGTTCCAGTTTCTATCTGTGACTTCAGGATTTCAAACCAGAGGTTTTGTGCCTGAACAACCTTCTTTGCTTTGCCCTATTAATATTATAAATTAAAATACATTTAGTAAAATCAAGGCACTAAAGAGTAAAAGCACCGCGTGAAACATTTAAAAATGCGACATGTCTAGATTGAACTTACTTCTCTTTCGTACTGATGGTATAAGTTCTCAAATTCCTCACCCCAACAATCTGCCAAACCTGGTGATTCATTGGGACAAAACAAAGACCATTGTCCATTACTCTGAACTCTCTCCATGAAGAGATCAGGCACCCAAAGAGCATAAAACAGATCTCGAGCACGGTGCTCTTCCTGCAAACATATCACCAATACATGGCAATAAGAATAAATAATGCTTAAACAACTCGTTGATAACAGTAAAAGTAAATTGTTGCACCACCTTTAACCTTATACAATCATACCTTTCCATGATTTTTTCTTAAATCCAAGAATTCAAATATATCAGCATGCCATGGCTCCAAGTACACAGCAAATGCACCTACAAGAAAAACATAAACATACAGGTAAAGATAGCAAATTACAGAGCCATTAAATATAGAAATTGCATATGAATCGTCTACCTTTCCTCTTGCCTCCCCCCTGATCAACATAGCGAGCAGTATCATTAAACACGCGCAACATTGGAACAATGCCATTGGATGTCCCATTTGTCCCGCGAATATAACTGCCAGTAGCACGAATGTTATGAACAGAGACACCAATTCCTCCAGCTGATTTGCTGATGGCAGCACACTCCTTTAATGTGTCATATATCCCCTCTATACTATCATCTTTCATGCACACAAGGAAGCAACTGCTAAGCTGCCAATTCACATGAACACTCAGTTGAATAAGACCCAAGATCATCAATTTACGAATTCATTACTTGAAAACAAAAATGCTTATGAAAAGAGCAAAATAATTTGCAATCATACTTGAGGCCTAGGTGTTCCTGCATTGAAAAGGGTTGGTGATGCATGGGTGAACCATCGTTGCGACATCATGTGGTAAGTTTTGACAGCAGATTCTATGTCATCCTTATGAATCCCAACCGCAACCCTCATCAACATATGCTGAGGCCTTTCCACAACCTTTCCTTGAACCTTCAATAGGTAAGATCTCTCGAGGGTTTTGAACCCAAAATAATCGTAATCAAAGTCCCTGTCATAGATGATCTCGCTGTCCAAACGAGCAGCATTCTACAACCAAACAAAAAAATTTCTCAGAATAAGTTATTTGAAATTCCTTTTGCTTAAAATAAAAAAGTATGTAGTTAAAAGTTTGTAATATTTTAAAACTTCTTTTTCTTACTATTCAAATACATGAATTATAATAATTTTGAAATACCTGTCCAAACACAACCTTAGCCTTCCATATCATTAACCAAAAAAAAACCTATCTTATGGTCAATGTCCAGATGCCTTACATAATCATAAAACGTGTTGCCCATCTAAAAGTATATATATATATAAGTCAGAACATGAATACCTTCATAATTATTCCATAGACATCATCAGCGATCAGAGGAGCCTTAAGCCCAGATCTCTCGTTAAAATGATCATACATCACTTTGATCCTGAATCCACCACAAAATCGACCACGGTCAACACAAAGCCATGCTAACCTAAACAAATTAAGCTCGCAATAAAAAACTTATATCACACTTACGTCTCCGAAAATGACTTTTTGGTGTTCTTGTGCAAATTGGAAACAGCTATCCTAGCAGCCAACTGCAACAACCAAAATAACTTACAATAACCCATCCCAATCATAAAATCCTAAAAACATACTTTATTCAACAAATTTAGCCGACCGACGGAGAACATGACGAAAACATTGAAACAAAAGAGGGGAAAAAAAACTAACACAAGCATAATCAGGATGGTTTGCCGTCAAAGCAGCGGCAGTTTCAGCGGCTAATTCATCGAGTTGACTTGTGGTGACGCCTTTATAGACGCCGGCGCACACTTTCTGAGACACGAGAACGGGGTCACAGTGATCGGTGCTTAACCCGTAACTAAGCTTCTTTAGCCGTGCGGTTATCTTGTCGAAGTGAACCGTTTCTTGTCGCCCATCCCTCTTTACCACATACATTTTGTTTCTTGTGTTTTTTGAAGAACTAGTGTCTCTGATGGGTAGTGTAGTGACTGAACCAGATTTGGCGCGTATAAGAGAAGGGGAAATGGCGTGTAATATATAGTGCGGTTGAGAAAGGGAGGGGATGGGGTTTGAAATTTTGAAATTAGGGTTGTGGGCTCTATTGGGCTTGGGCTTCCCTCTCGATTTTAAAATTTCACGCCAGATCGCTCTCTATTGTAATTTTGATTTTGAACATCTTTTATTGACCATGATATTAGTTTGTTTCCACTTTCACTTTTGAGATTGGGATGTGGGTAGGCGGCGGGTAACCAGGGGTGGAGTTGGTGGTGGGGCCCCACTGCTGTGTGCAATTGCCATCTAAATGCTAATACAAGCCAAACTACGCGCCATCTCTCTCTTGGTGCGGCTTGGGTCTGTTGGCTAGAACCGTTGGATTGGTGGGTCCGGATATTTTGATGGCTGTAAGATGATGCTTCTTCAGCACTTTTCTTTTCCGGTATTAAACTTCTTCCGCACTCTTTTGTGAGTTCAGTGCTTACCTCACATGCCTGTCACTCAAATTTCACCAAGACAAAAAGCATTTACGAGGATAGAGTGTCATTAATTTTTTTTGTCTTAAAGTCCTGATATTTGAACTCTTGGTTTTATTTGAATTGTTTTGAAAGGGATTCAAGTTTGAGTGGAAAGTGGATTTCCAATTTTTTTTAGCTTAAGCTTCTGAATTCATTTGAGCGCAAATTTCTTTAAAAAATTGCGCAGTCACTTCCCTGAATGGAGTCATTATGCATTGGCTATCCGATTTTACACTCATTTTACATCACCTCTGTGTGTTATCCAGATACTGATGTTCATTGGACACTACTTGCTATTATAGAGGGCTAGAGGCTGAGAAATTATATTTGAAGCATCAGATTGTAGGTGTGCAAGGAAGTGAAAAAAAAAAAAAATAGGTGTTTCACTTGCATCAATTTTGATAAAACAGTAGTAGAGTCCATGGAAAGTAAGGAAGTACTATCAACTACAGCTGTGTAAAGCAGTGTGTTTCATGTACTAAAATACCTAGATACCTGGATTATAGAAAAGATACTATATTTAAGGAATAAGTTTATTTTAAATTTTTTTAAAAGATTTAATTAATTAAACAAGGTTTATTTAAAATTTATAATAATATATTAAATAAATTATATTTTAAAATGAATAATATTTTAAATTAAAAACTCTAATACTTTTTGTTGAAGTTGAAAAGTGTCTTTTTTATATAATCTCTTATGCATTATTGTTATATGATCTATCCTATACATACTAATTTGCATTTATGTTGTCTCAATTATTTTTATTGCTGGTTTGACTTATACATTATATTTTTGGGTATTTATTTATATTATATGTAATTCTTTTTTATTATTTTTTTTTATTTTTAGGCCAACAATATTTTTTCTAATTGAGAGCAATAAAATAATTTATTTACTTGAATGTTTTAATACGAAGTAAGTCATTAAAAAGGTTAATATGCTAAAATAGACTTTTAAAAAGGTTAGGCTAAGTTTAATAAAAAGTCTATTATAAATAATAGGTTAGACTTTAACTTTAAAATTATTAAATAGGTCAGATCTATTTATACAAAATATAATTTAGATTATTTTTATTCCTAATTATTACTTATTGCAATGAGAGAAAGCTAACTAGTATAAATGTTAAGAATACATGTGACAATTTAGTAGGAAAGAGAACTAAATGCATAACTTTCTAAAAAAAAAAATTGGTCAAGCAAACTATTAGATAAAATAAAACTTATTTTTTTGCTTAAATAAAAAAAGAATTAGACTTTCAATTCTCCCATAAACTAGAAAGAATTTGGATTAAGACAGTCTTAAACTTTTTGGAAGCCTTATTCTAATTGTGAAAATTAGGTCCTTCTATCCCTAATTTTTAAAAATAAAATAAAGTCACATCTTTAATATTTTACAATATCGTAATACAATTGTATTTTACAAAATAAAGTACAAAAGAAGTCAAATTACTTTATTGCTTTTGATAATGACATCCAAACAGAATATTAAACTAAAACAACTTTCTACTTAAAAGTGTTGTCCTTCTAACACTTTGAAGCAAATCCATCAACCAAATCTTCATATTGTAATTTTTTCAAAAGATTATTTTTTATTGCAATCATCACTAATTCATTAAGTCTTTCTTGCAACATTGTAGAACGTAAGTAGGATTTCAACATCTTCAACTTTGAAAAACTCTTATTTGCATATGCAATAGTAATAAAGATAGTCAACAAAATTCTATATGCAATAATTATATTCGGAAAATAATATAAGTTTCTCAAAAACTTCAAAATATCAATAGGACCCATTTTTTCTTTAGGCAGGACATCCTCAAAAAGCTTTAACTCCACATATAATTCATTCCCATCAATATCAGATTGTTGATTATGCTTAAGTGCATTTTTTGGCATACTACAACAAGACTTTAAACTTATATCATCAAGTAACTACAACTTATGAGATGTAAACAAAAAACTAAAAATACTTTCATATTGTTGATATTGCTCAAATTAACTATTAAGAGAACCAATTGTTCGATCAACAACATAGAAAAAATAATTAATCTTAAAAGACTCTTCTTCAAATAAAGAAGCAACTAATGATGTATTTGAATTTTCATCAAAATGTTTTTTTCTTCGAATTTCATGCCTTTTAGGAAATACTAGATTAATATCCATTCTAATAGTAATTTTCTTAACTTTATCCAAGGCATCATAGAAACTAGTTTCTCTATACCCCTCAAAAATAGTAATTAACTCCTTGATTTTCTCAATGACAACATCAATAAGCATGTCCTTGTAAAAGTTTGCTAGCAGAATTAATAGCAGATAGTATGTCAAACCAAATAATTATTGAAACTAAAAACTCAAAATCACCAAGCTCGTTGTTTGTTAAGGATTTAGCTTCACTTATTGTTTTATAATCATTATCAATATCTGCAACTTGAAGTAAAGCTTCTCGTATTTCTAACATTTGCAATCTTATTGCTTTAACACTGTCAACATGACTCTCCCAATGAGTGAATGACAATGACTTGGGAGTATATTTTTTCACATTATCCTTTAAAATATCTCATCTCTTAGTAGAATGTGAAAATATTGTATAAATACGTTGAATAATGCCAAAAAAATCTCTAGCTTTACCATATATGTTTGTCATATCACATAATGCCAAATTAAGACATGACAACCACAAGGAGTATAAAGTGCTCTAGCATTTATGTCTAACAATTTTCTTTGTACTCCTTGATGCTTTCCTTTCATATTTAATCCATTATCATACCCTTGTCCACGCACATCAAATATGTCAAGATCAAGAATTTTTAACTCATCTTGTAAGACACTAAAAAGTCCTTGACCACTTGTATCTCTCACATTTAAAAATCCTAAAAAAGATTCTTCAACATTATCAAAGACATTTACTCGTTGTGGCTAATATCAGGGGTACAGTCAAGTATCACTCAAAAATATTTTGCTTGTTTTATTCTTTTGATAATTTAAGATTTAATCGCAGAAGCAAGCAAAAGTATAAGCTCATTTTAAATCGTATGCCTAAGATAATGATAGTGAATATTGTCATTTGTAATGCGTCTAACATATTCTTGGACAACTGGGTCAAACTCAGCCAACATTTCAATTAAGCTTAAGAAATTTCCATTGCTATTTTGATACAATCTCCCATTAGTACCTCGAAATGCTAAACTATGCTTAGACAAAAATTTTACAATTGAAATAATTCTAAACAAAACTTTTTTTCAATGGTCTTTTTATTTCTCAACTAGGCTTTGAGCCACTTTATCAATGGTTTTATTCTTTTGGAACTTTAGACACTTTCATACCAAGTGGCCATATTTTTAACATGTTTAATGCTTGTCTCATGCTCTTTAAGTCTTTCTCCAACATAGTGCCAATCTCTAAAACCTTCATTTATTAATTGACCTCTACCAATCCCTTGTTTAAAAATTTTACAACAAAAATAAAATACTCTATCAAGTTATTTTGAATAAACGAGCCAATTTTTATCACATTTTCCCCATTTGATAAAACTCTAGTGTACAAATTAGCAGTAATCGCCTAGAAAATTTATCTTTAGGACCTTTATCAATGGAACGATCTCTTTTGAGACTTATTTTTACTAACAAATCAATCATTTTAGAATAAGGGCATCCTAATTTATAGAATCAAATATATCAAACAAATAAAAAGTTTCAAAAATATTTGCATCATCGTCTTAATTGTCAAGTGAATCATTCAAATTGTCATTTTCAGCATGATTACTATTATGATTTTCAATAGATATGTCATCAGCAAACTCATCATTAACATTTTGATTTACCTCATTATTAGTATGCAAATTGTGATTATGATTCTCAACAAGGACTGCATCATCAAACTCAACATCAACATTTTGATTCTCCTTATTGTTATTCTGCATATTATCATTCTTAGTATTCACCACGTTTTCAACATCAAAATTATTAGAATTTTGATTCTCAACAGAAACTTATGGGTCTTTTATAACAAATTTATCTAGAGCTCCTCTTTGAGATTGAATTAACAATTCATCCTTTTTTTTTCCTTACATTTTTTATATCCAAATTCAAATTTTATGATTTGAGTCATAATTTAAAACTAAGGCAAAGTAAATGAAATAAAAGGATTGAAACAACCAATTAATTCAATCAACAAAATTCTATTTCACTGTCAATTATCTCTCCAACAAAGTTCAACCTTTAAAAAAAAGAGTAATTATTCTCTGTTAAAAACTATCACACATTAGTACTAAAAAATAAAAAACATCTACTGACTTATAAACCGTTAATTTCAATTTACCAAAAAATAACATGAACTTGTTTGTAATTGGTAATTAATATAGTTATAATCGAATTGGAATCAAAATATTCAACCCTCAAAAAGAAAATAATATACAATAGTCAATCTCAAAATTTAAAAGTCAGTGTAATTTCATTTAAAAAAAAAAGTAAAAGAGTACTTGAATTGATATTTCTAAATGTTGGAGAAGATGAATCGTTAATAAAAAGATAGATCAAATTGTATTTTTTCCTCTTCAACAAACAATTTTTATTTTTAATATGAAGAATGGTTGAATGGGTAAAAATATAAAATAGGGGGAAAATTTAGCTGTTTGACAAAAATAAATTAGAAACTTCGATTCTGAAAACAATTGAATTAATGA